GCATGAATCCACAGACAGACATGCAGATCACTATCAGCAACAAAGTACCAAGTTTTGACAAAATCATATCCAAGAAACAGGAACAAAAAAAAGTCATTTAAATTATACATTTTTTGATGTGAATTTCTTGATGTTAGGTTTTAGTTTTTTGAAATTGTTTAATTTACACTTACATTGAATGAAAAGGTGAATTTTTTTGTACTGTTCGTATTTAAGTTTGTTATAACAGTTTTCTGTTTGTTTTTTTCTTCCTTTTCATGTCATTCAAAAATTAGCTTAAATAAATCTGTTGCTCAAATTGAGTATAAATTGCCTTCATCTTCATATGACATATTACTATAGTGTGTGTGTGTGTGTGTATATATATATATATATATTACACACACACACACACACAGGGGGTGTGAGATCATATTATAAGTTTTCTGTGTGCGAGGCATAGAAAAGGTTGGGAACCCTTGATCTAGGAGATAGAAAATGCTGATATTAAATCTCCACTGCTTTGCAAATAGCAATCCTATGCAAACACAGAAATGCCTATGGAAGTAAATCCAGATAGAAAATCCAGAGTTGAACCCTGAAGGCAATTGGCTATCAACACTGACAACTTTTTGGCAACTCCTACCAAGCTGGCCCCAAATGTAATACACTTTCTTTTAGATCTTAGTTGGTTTGACTGAGAGAGGGGTCATGTGATTTGGGCAGTGTATGGCCTCCATACACTATTGCCCATGCCTGTGAACTGGAGAAGGCACTCCAGTCTCACTAGATAAACAGATATCTACTACTACATAATAGCTCTGCCTGTTTTGGACATTGTGTAAGTGCTATATATATATAAATAAAAGGGATTTGATTTTATATATGATGCTTTTAAACTTTGAGAAGATACATCTACAAGATATAAAATTCATACTCAAAGATTTTCAGAATTTATGGAAAAAAAAAAAAAGTATCATTGTAACACAATCTATTTCTTATAATGCTTTCTCTTATCTGATTTTTACCAAATGTAAATATGTTTGTTTATATTTTACCTATCACTGCAAAAATAACCTCAAAATTATACCAAACATTTAGTACTTTTCTAAGTTTCTTTTTAGGTTCAAACCTAAACCTGATGATATTTTCAAATTGATAAAAGCTTTTGAACTTTGTTTTAATACACTATACATATTACTGAACCTTTAATACATAAATGAACAAATTCAGTAATAAAAGCTTTTCAAAATTAATACTGGCATAAAGAAAATTATATATATATATATATATATATATATATATATAAAAAATCCCTCACTACTACGACTCAGAGTTTCATACATGATGCAATCTTCAGGTTCTGAGTATGAACTTACCGTTACACAATTTGAATTATAATATATCTCATTATCACAATGTTGGCATAGTTATATATAATGCTGAGATTACAGTTTACAGTTTTTTTTTAAATTTTAACATTATATTTAGTAATTAAAATAAGTGGCAATTATATATATGTAAAAAAAAAAAAGAAAATTAAAAAAAAAATTATTCATTTTTTTAATTATTTAAAAGGTGATTACTTGTTCTTATTTAAAAACACGAATTTATATATTTATATTCAAAATAAATAGTAATTTGCATTAAGAATAAACATAGTTTACATTAAACAGAAGAGAGCTTGATTCGTTACTCTAGTTTCACGCTCTCATGAACTTCAGAGAACTAAAACTAGGCATTCTAGTCATGTGAAGATTGCATGAGTGTGAAACTTGAGCAACAATTCAGGCTGTCCTTTGTTAAGTGTGGACGTTGTGAATCGTTTTTGGTTCTGTCTCAATAATCTGAGCATCAAGCATTTTGCTTTGTAAGTGTTTGCCTTTTGGACTTTCTTTTTTCATTCCTTGTTTGGTTTTTTTTTTTTTTTTCTTGCCTAAGATGTTAGGTCAACTAGCAACATAGTTGGTTTTTCTTTATTTGTGTATGTGTGTGTGTATATATATATATATATATATATATATATATATATATATACATACAAATAAAAGGCCCAAACACTAATATTCCATGGTTATAATTTATTACATTGGAATCGTAATCACGATCCAATTCATCAGACCTACATATTCAAGTAATGAAATGTTTGGTAATCCATATGTATGATCCCAAGGAGGATATAATCCAGAGAGCTCAATGTAAAAACAGAGTGAATATTAGTTAAATTAAAAAACAGACAACCTTACGGGTCCATAGATTATATTTTATTTCACCAGGAATGGGATTTTTTTTCCTTGTTCCTCAGAACACACTTCCAAGAAATAAAAGAAAACCTTGGAAATGTAATCTGAGGAATCCCATTCTTGAGGAAATAAAATATAATCTATGGATCCTTAAGGTTGTCTGTTTTTTAATATATATATATATATAATATTAATAGAAATCTTATAAGTATGAGAAACTATACTCGCACAGAAAACCGAGAAAACCGGTTTTCCAAGCGAATATAGTTTCTTATACTTATAAGATTTCTATTAATAATAATCCAGATCTAGGCTACCCTATTGAGCACTTTTTAAAATCAACTAATATGGAGCGTGTAAATATAGGATATTCACCGAAGAAGATACCTGTACGTAACCGTCAGTTATATGAATTATGTTTGTTAAAAAAAATAGAAAAGTTTATCATTAATATGAGATAGGAGAGCTTACTTTTGCCTAAATAACAACCTAAATAAGAACAAAACTAGTGAACACTATGGATTTAAAACTAATGCCCATCCCCCACATATTAAAGAGCCCAATAAATTCATATCAGATTTAATTGGAATAATCAATAAAATAAGATATAGGAAAATAATTAATAACAATAGACAGCAACAAATAAGTAAAGACATGAAAGAGATTAAGAATAATAAAAATATTTATGTTAAAGCAGATAAATCCAGATTTTTATATAAAATGAGCCCTAAAATGTATAATGAAATGTTACACAAAAAAGTCATCAAACGCTACAAAAAAGCCCCGGATAATATTGAAACTAAATTAAATAAAGAGGCTAGTGTTTTAGCTAATAAATTTAATCTAGGTAATCATATTGAAAAAATGAGCATAAAAAATTGCTTCATTACTCTAAAGGATCACAAAAGTAATTTCTTAAGCAACCCGGAATGTCGATTAATAAACCCCGCCAAAACGCAATTAGGTAACGTCAGTAAAGTTATCTTACAGGAAATGTGTGATTCTTTAAGGACTTTCCTTAATATAAACCAGTGGCATTCTTCCCATGATTGTATTAGGTGGTTTAAGAAATATAATAAAGACATTAGATGTTCATTTATCAGGTATGATATTAAATATTATCTGTCGATTACAGAAAAAACTCTCAACAAAGCCATTCAATTAGCTAAAGAGTTTATACAGATATCAAATGATAAAATAGACTTAATCAGACACTGTCACAAGACCTTATTGTTCCATAATAATGAATTATGGATAAAAAAAGACGATGTAAATAATTTTTGTCAATCCCATGGGAGAATACGTTGAAGCAGAGGTTTGCGAATTAGTAGGATGCCTTTTGCTTAACAATCTAAATAATTACGTAGATTTTAATAACCATGGGTTATACCGTGATGATGGATTAATTATAGTTGATAGAAGTAATCCCAGAAAATGCAATACAATCCAAAAAAAGCTGCATTGGCTCTTCAAAAAATTCAGATTCATCCTAGAAATTGAAACTAACCTTAAAGTTACTAATTACCTGGACATCACCTTAGATTTATGAGATGGCACTGTAATGGGAAAATATTAAAAAGATGTTCTAAATATAGAGCAGGTTATAAATTTTGTAAACTATGTCTTGAGGAAAAATTAGCTATAGCTCTATATAGGGAACTTAATCAGTTATTAAATTCTAAAACGGAAATTCTAAACAAATGTAGACATAGAAAACGTTGGTTGTTAGACTAGGTCTCCTCTCTCCAGTAATTAATAATATATTATTATTATTTTCATTTTTTTTTTTTTTTTTTTAAGAGTAATTATCAAATTGATGTATGTAATCAAAATGTACACAAGCTGCACTCAGGTACCTAAAAATATGATTAATTCTCCTGGGAACAGAATAGCAGCAGTAAATTAATATCTAATCTGTCTCCAAATCAGTTTTCAGAGAGTACAATATACTCAGGAATTATTATATGCTATCAAAATAGGATATTTTTCAATTCTCATCACTGGAGAGCAAAAAGTTGGATAGTTCAAACTGGGGATCCAACTTGAAATCTTTCTTTTTTCAGGTTTTAGATTTTAAAAGCAAGAGAACTAGCAAAATTGATGACAGCTCAAAGCAGAAATTATAAAAATATAAATAATGGAAAATAGATTTTGATAAGTAGTAATCAAAAATTCAAAACAGGATTTCTTGGTAAGACAAAATGACTGACTTAAAAATCATGCAAGCAAATATTATGTAAGTATTTGTTTTGTAACTAAATAAAAAACATTTGAAATTTTTCAAAAAAAATGATCAAATTCCCATTATCAATTTAATTTTGGTTCATTTAATTATTAAAATTAAGCATTGATATATAAACTATATTATAAGAAGACTAACTACTTTAATTTCAATGTGGAAAATAAACAAGTAAATACATTTTCTTAAAACAGTAACAACTGTAGCAGTTGAACTACTTCATAGCTAGTAAAACTGTTTCTGATACCATGGAATATGAATTTGGTCTATGTTAAATTCTCTCTAAAACATTAAATAGTTTTTATTATAAGCACTCTTGGAATCAGTATTAGAAATTGGTTGCTAATTAAAAATAAAAATAAAAAAAGAAGACAAGCAAATTCAAATGGTTCAAAGCAAGAACAAGGATCAAGGTTCAATCACTTCCCATAATACTGTAGTTGTTGGCCAGAAACAAAATGCTTCTTTTTTTTTTTTTTTTCCTTCCTTTCATTTATTTTTATTTTTTAAATAATAGAAGCAAGGAGGCAAATACTTACAAAGCCATATCCTTAAGGTTACCATAGATGTCCTCGTCATCACTGGATTCTTTGGTTTCTACGAATGGTGGAAACTCGCTAAAAGCAAATGAAGGAACACAAAAAAGCTAAGCTAGGCAAGCCAAAATAGCACAAGGGTCTGGGAATGAACTAAAGCAAGGGCTACCACCACCATCATCATCACAATTTTGACACCAGCAGTACTGCTGACAGTACTAGTAGAGGCACAATCTGAGAATGGTAGACTGTCTGGAAGTAAATAGAGAACCAAGAAGATAGAAGCTAAAAGAGCTAACAATGAACAAAGTGTACAGACATTGTTTACAACAGCAACAACAAGTCCAGCATAAAAACTCATGTAAGTAATAAATTAAAAGTGGGGAAACCTGTAATTGCCATAATTCCCCATTAACTGTAGATGTATATTTCATTGTTGTCGTCATTCTTATACAGTGTTATTTTTTTTTTTTTTTTTTTAAATTTCACCAATAAAAATGGCAGCATGCAAAATGACACAAACACACACAAACCTTTCACTTCATATCTTTATTAGATTTAAACTTATCTAATTGCCAATAAGAAAATGCTAGTGGTTAACAATTTCATTACTAATTAAGCTCAATGCATCTGACCAAATCAGAATCTGATTTTTTAAACTTCTAGAAAAGTTTATTTGCAGTAAAAATGATTATAAAGGAATAAGAATATTTTGCACAATTTGGTTCACAGTTCAAAGGTTGACTGCCACTATAAAAAAAACAAACTTCCATACAATTCAATTTCATATTTTCTAAGACCTTTAGTGTAAGATAATGCATCATTTTGATATTTCATAAACAAAACTTAATATACTTTATATCTTCATATAAATGCAAGTTGTGTGTGTGGGATGAAGGGAGAGTTTGGACAACATATCGATAACTGAAAAATGAAACTAATAAAATTATTATGACTAATACCTATACCACAATTTTTTTTTTTCATACTTGAAATCTTTGCTAATATTTTATGTTCAGACTTTATAATCCTCTCTTCCTCTCTCTCTCAATTCAGCCAAAGTTTAGTTGATAATTTTAGGTTCTCTTAAATAATTACAACTGATTAGAAATAATAACCAACTAATTTCAACTATTTTCTGCATTGTTTATAGATCTCATTTCCAGTGAATCTTCAATAGGAATATGTACTTTATGAATTGCTTGGAGGGGATGCTAGTTTTCATTAATTAACTATTTAATTTCAAGCAAGCTATTTATAATTCATTTTTTTTAACTACTGTGAAAAAAAAATCAAATACTCATTAAGGAATATAACACTTCAAAATAAAAGAGACAGATTGGTTTTGATTTATAGGAATAACAACAGATGTACTTCAAAGTTAAATTGAAAATGTTGGCTGAAGAGTAACTGTTAGAAAACATTTCTTTAAGAATTTATTTTTTTCTGTTTGAATTTCTGGAATGAGGAGTTATTTACATCTAGACTATTGTCTTCATCTTTGCTGTTATTATCATAATGTTTCAGCCATTGTGTCCTCTAGCCTTCAGTTGGGTCCTTGTTAATTCAAGTAACCTTCAGGGAATTTTGAACTGAATCTTTTATTTAATCTATGAAGGTGATGTGTTCTCATTTTGCTGACCATGTCTAGACATATCTAATTCTTATAAAATATTGCTCAGTTATTGCTCACTGTTCCCACTAAATCTATGTCTGCACTACCTGGCCCACGGATTGAACTCACAATTATTAAGTCATCAAATTATTGAATCACTACTTTAATCCATTAGGTTATTGTGACAATCCCGGGTATAGAACATGGAGCCCTAAATCTAATCAGCCTTGTTTTGTTTGATATATTTACTGAATATAAATGATTAAAATGTAAGTGCAATTAGTTTATAATAATTTAACTGTAGTCAAATTAGCATTGGTTCATATATTAACAAACAATTAGAAAAGCTTTCTAACTTTGTATAAATCCAAATGTTGTCTAGTGAAAGAGAAGTATATCCAAAATAATTACTTAATTTGTAAAAGCTATATATATATATGTGTGTGTGTGTGTGTGTGTGTTTTCTCTTGAAAGAGGAAGAGAGAGAGATAAAGGAAGTTAAAAGAAAACAATGAAAATAAAAAAAATTATCAAACCAGTTAAATTCATAAATGTATTCGGTAATATTAAGTAGCAAAATTTACAAAGAAAACACATTCAGTTCATATAGTTTATATCCAACACCAAGTAAAATAAATGGAAATTATCTTAGATTGAACTTTAAAATTTCAAAATAGAAAACAAAATCTACTTTTATGTGTGATAACATTTAGCAAACAATTTGACAAGCAGAAAAAAAAGGGATATATACAATAACAACAAGGTGGAAAATCTAGGAATAATATGATACTGGATAATTATAAAAATGACATAGAAGAAATACTTTTAAAGAAAATGAAAAGAGAAAAGTTAGAAAGAAGCACTATGGAGAGCAAGACAACAAACAAAAAAGAAAAATCAGGGTATCAGAAAAAATAGAAAAAAAGTATTTACATTATTTACATTTTGGACTAATGTCCTCATCTTTATTGTTACAATCACAATGTCTTGGATATTGTGACCCCTTCTTCACATGTCTGTTCATGTAGGTAACCATCAAAGAATTCTGAACTAAATTGCTTTATTCAATATACAGAGGTAGATTGTTCACATCTAGGGATATTTTAACTTTGTTAATTTATCAGTTATTGCTAATTCTGTCTCCAGTGAGTTTGAATATATATGTACTACCCAGCCAAAGATATTGAGCTCACAATTATTAATTCAACATATTCACTAACACTTGTCTCATGGCCTAGAAGTTTAAACTTGTAGAAGGACAGAAGACACAGTGGCTGAAACATTATGATTGCAAAAATAAGTATGAGGACATTAGTCCAACTGTAAATAATAACTCCTCAACACAGAAATTCAAACAAAAAGAAAAAGTAGTTTTCATTTTTTTGTTCATTCTTTCATTTACTTTCAAAGAACTTTAGATATGCTCATCCAAAGTTAAAAGGTGAGACATCCTTTAAAACAAGAAAGATGTAGGTACATACACTGTAAATAAAGTTGTTAATTTATATAATTTTTATTTAATTCAACATCCATCCTATACAAACAAGTTGCCAATACATAAAAATATTTATTTATACTTCAAATTTTAATTCATTATTAAAGAGTAATCTGTTACAAAATGAAGAACTTGGAGAGATTGAACAAAACATTTGTTCCTCAATGAAAAGTTCCAACAAAGAAATGTGTATGTGTGTGCTGCCAATCACATTTCACATCAATGAAATAGCAGCATCAATTTATTTAATAATGCTTTTAAGCACTTTCACTTCTTTGTTTTTGTGTGTGTGGTTTTTTTTGGGGGGGGGTCCACAGAATGATTAAAACTCTGTAATCTTATCCCTGCTGAAAAGAAGTATTTTTTTATTCACACACTCACACAAAAAAAAAAAAAAAAAAGAAAAAGAAAAGAGAAACAAAAATATGTAAGTCTTGGGAAATTATCCCCACCATGTTGTTGTTATGATGATAAATGAATAAATCAGTTGAATAGCAAAATGAAGTTATAGTCTCATGATACTGCTTCCCTACCTGAATATCTTGTATGAAATTTTATTAAATCATAACTAGATATGAAACAATAATGAGCATAATTCAAATAGAAAAATATTTTCTTTATTTTTCTCTACTATTAAACAGAACAACAGATTTTAAATTTCTTTGGAATCCTGATTAATGATAACATAAAAGTTGTAAATTAATAACTACAGAAAATATGTACTTGTCCACAGCAAATCATTAAATTGCATTCAAAAATATATTCTGAAAGAGAAGACATTTTTGTTAATAAAGCAATCTGAAAGGAGTTTAACTTCACAGGAACCATATATAATGAAATGTTTTTTTTTTTCTTTTTAGATATATAAAAACTACCTGCAAATATACATGTAAAAAAGTTAGCCGGCTTTTCAGATTGATAGCTAATAATAAATACAGAAATACACACCACAAAAAGTTGTTCTGGCCTTAGAATTTGATAGATCTCTATTACCATTTTGTAAATAGATGATTCTTGTAATTTTGCCAAAAAAAAAAAAAAAAAAAAAGTTTTAATTTTTCTACCTAAAACAAACCTAGCAATATTTAACTAGTCTACTGATCAAGAAATCAGCATCAGATACTTTACTAGTTTTTTTATAATGTACTTCAAAAATCAACAAGGATGTCAAAAACAATTATTTTTTTTTCTTGACTTTCTAAGACAGTCTACAGTTAATGCATATGTGTGTGTGTGCACATACACAAAGTTGCAAACTGACATACAAAGATGCTAACACTAAATGAAATAAAGTTTTGTTTTTTTAATTTCTCAAGGATAAAAATAAGAAAAAGAGTTTTACACAATCAAAAAGTGAGCTCAGATTGTAAGAAAAGGTTGTGATCTTTCCATAGCCCCCACCAAACCTGCTAATTCATATTGCATAAATGCTTAAGAAATACCTAAGTCAAATCATTTCTATACAATATATATTCCCACCAGACTGGTAAAACATGTTATAATAAAGTTTTATTTTAGTATTTCTTTCTTTCTTTTTCCACTTTTCCTTTCTGATTTCTAAATAAAACTTTTTCAAATGATGAATTCACAATATGTCAAATTCTGATCACTTATATTTATAATTTTTATGAAAATAATACAATCTGAATTATTAAAATGGTTTAGAGATATTGTGAAAGAATTGTTATTATTCCATAAAGACAAAGATTTTATACATAAATTATACACATAAATGTTTCTAAGAACAACAAATAACCTTAATGATAATTTCCAATTTTCCAGGAATGGTTTCATTTTGTTAGATGAATTTCAAATCTGAATGCTATTGAGCAAAATAGGTTATCACTACTATTCAATAAAAGAATAGGACATCTACTTAAACTAAAAAAAAAAAAAATAATTTCATATATGGACAGAAAATAACCTTAGAACAAATCATTTCTATTATAGAGAAATGAAGCAGGGCATTAA